AAGTTTGCACGCGGTTAAAGTTGGACTAAAATATATAATATTAACATATAAAATATTTCACATTATGTGTACAGTTTATGCGCAAACCATTATACGATTTCCCATAAACACGATACATATATATATAATATGTCATAGAGTGTCGTCGTGGTGGTATACATTGGGTGGCCAGCAACAGTTTGGTTTTTTATAGCTGACAAACTTTTTTTTCCTTGAAGCTAAAAWTTCGACTCCGCGGATGAAAAACGTWAAACCCGAAACGAAAAAAAATAGCAAAATATGGTTCGATAAAGATTTTCTGTCAAATGCAATTCACCCCCATAAATATCTCTGTACACTTATGTCGGTGCAGCGGCAAATTATTTTTTTTTCTCCTATCGTTCTACAAAAAATCCACCCAATTATTTCACAAGAGTCGATATACTATACACTATCTGCTGTACCCAATTACTTGGCTTACCACTCGCGGAGAAATAATAATAATCAGACATAATTTGTACATTTCGTTATTACTACGTATAATATACAACGTTTATATATGTGTGTATAATTATAATGTAACAAAACGTTGTAATATAAAAATCAAACGTTATATAATATTATAGTATAAACATATAATAATAATATGTGTGTTTACTGTTTACAATATATCGGTATTAAATGACATTTTTTTTTTTTTGCTTACAGAATGGAAGAGGGAGCGGCGAAAACATTAATAGAGCGAATGGGTAAGTAAAAAACTTAAAAAAAAAAAATAATAAAAAAATAATGACGATAATATGCGTAAGTAACTCTGATTTAGTATACCGGGAGGTAAATAATAGCGAAAAGCGTATATATTATATTATGTACGAAATAGAAAACGGAAGACAGACACGTTGTGGRCAAACGAAACGTCGCCGTCGTTTTTATTAGGTATTATCGTTGTTGGTGTTGTATGCAGTGGTACAAGTAGATGAGCCGAAAACGAACGAGAGCGAGCGAGATGAAAAAAATAATCTGGTGAACGTCGCAGTACCTACACAATAATATATAATCTAATAAATACGATACGCTATAAAGTCTATTTTGTTATATTCCGTAATGATGTGGAATTCGCTGTTATTCGATATTGTTCACAACCTGCACCGCCGTACACTCAATGGAGTATATTTTGCACACACTTCGCCCGCCCACCCGTCCATGTATGCACTCGCCGTGTATAAAGAGTTTAAAAGTACGTGTTAACCCGAGATTTCCTCTGTGTGGGTGTGCGTCTGGTGTTTTTACCACCCCATCACACGTGTATCCGTCATCGCATCCGACCGCCTCTCGCGGCGTATGACGGTTTTAAAGAGCTTTGTACGGGATCGGTCCATTGAATTTTGTGTCTCACATTTCTGTGTGTGTGTGTGTGTGTGTGTGAACGCACACGCAGATGAAAAGTAAAATATAATGGCGACGTCAGTGTGTGGGTGTTGGGTGTAATCCGTAAGTGCACTTCTATAATATACGTACCAAAACACGATGAGGGGTGGCAAACGGCGACGACGTCGACCTGTCTGCAGATAACAAACTTTCGATTGGTGTGATGGTGGGGAGAGSGGTTGAGAAGGGGAGGAGGAGTAGAGTTAGGCGCCGATGGGATAAAAGCGTGGATGGGTGGGGGTAGGGGAGGGTCGAAATGTCATTTATCGGTTGACACAACATTGAAAGCCATCATCGTCGTCTTTGGCAGTACCTATATACACATGTACATACCCACCCTGCGATGTATACACGCGATAAAAGTAAACATATGAAATTAGTCTTGTCGGAGAAAATATGCCTTTACGAGCAGTGATTGAATTTGTGACAAGTGACGGTGGCCTTGAAAGGGGGAGAACTGCTTCTTCTTCTCTTTTAATTACTCTTGTATTTCAACGTGCCTCGACCTCTTCAGTAATTATGTTTAAAACAAAAATTAAGCCGTTATATTTTGACTTATAATATGACGTCTCCAGTTCCGCATACTGATCGAGTCCCCTGCCTGAACGAGAAAAAAATAATATATTAATTGAGTCTCTTGGTATACGAAAAAGGAAAATATCACCAATAATTGTGTTGGTGATTGGAAAACAAAAAGTATACTAACTATGTACAAATTAGGAAATCATAAAAATTCATATCGATTGAGAATCATTTTTAGTTATTTTGTACACATTCTTAAAATTCTGTTTGAAATAGATAAATGCCGACACTGTCAAAATACTGAATGACTGAATATCATAAGAGTAGAAAACGAAAATAAAACGACATTTGTATMGATATAAGACAGTTATTTTTTGCTTTAAATCAATTAATTATACATTTGTTTATTTGAACATTTATCAAATTTATCAAAATTTCAAATTTAAATTTAAACATTCTTAACCCATTTCTAAACGTTGCAATTACTATTCAAATCTGAAGTTGTCAAAAAATGAAAGAAATGTTTTTTTTTCAAATTTTAACGGGACTCGATTAGTATTGAATTTTTTTACGGAACTCAATTCGTTCTAAACAGTTTCAATGGGACTCAATTCTTGTGCGGCCATAATTATATCATAYTTCTATCCTCGTCATGAGCTAACTTATTTTTATATCTGACGAAACGTTTTTTTTTCACACTCGGTGTTCATCCTCTCACGATTTCTTTAACTTATTATGGTTTAGGTAAATCGTATTTGCACGCGCATAGCAGATATATGGCCATTCGTATAGCGATTGGTCTACTGCAATTGAGTGATCTGCGAATTCAGGATCGATCAGTGATCTATACGTATAAATTAAAAAAATATTTTTTTTTATTAGTGTAAACACATATTATATTTTTTATCATGAGTACGTCATATTATCATACAAATATTCGTCAAATTAAAAAAAAAATTAAAAATTAGTGGCCAAATATAGTAAACATTTCAATTACAGTAAACATTGCTAGTAAAAATTTTAAAAACGTATGTTGAGCATTAGTCTGATCTCCGCCACACTTCAATCAAATAACAATGTTAGAATTCCGATGTAGTGCCATACATTTTTAGAAGTATTTTCATTTTGAGATGTGATCAAAWGCGTCCTATATTGTCCGGGTGTTGGCTCCTGTCAGCGGGTCGACAAAATGTTCAGAATGATTTACAGTCAAGTGATTATATCCGTACAATAAAAATATAATATAACAATAATTGTGTTGATCACCGACTACTCCTAGTAAAATACGATAGAGATCACCCGATACATCTAAAAACAGGTAGCAGATCACATGCTACACAAATGCTGAGATTTGATTTAAAACTCGCCGTGTGCCTGCAATGGTATAATTAGGATAGTTATACTGGTCGTTAGTTTTCTGTTCTTTGCAGAATAAAATGATATATCATATATTTATATATAAGTACAGAGTATACCTATATAGTACTACGTACTGGTTTGAAAATTGTCATATTTTTTTATATATTTTTTTTTATCAAAAAAAAAACCATACCACCGATGTCAACAGTAAAAATGTACGTGATCTTACTGTGTTATATTTTAGACACCCTGGAGACAATCCGTTTTATAGCAACATCGACAGCATGCCGGATATTCGACCCAGGAGAAAATCTATACCTCTTGTCTCGGAACTGGTAAGCAAAATATTTAATATTAAATATAATTTAAATTCATCCTAACCCCCCGCCCCCATCGTTACGACTTATTGGAAACATAAAATCCCGAAAATTGGATATCCATCGAGTATACGTATACAGCGTTTTTGTAAAGTAATAACAKTAATACGTATAATTCAACCGAGAAACGAGTGTGCCCGGTGACTTTTTTGGTAGTAAATATTTTTGTACAAAATTTTCGCTTCTAAGTGTATACCGTATATTATAATTTCTTCATTGGAAATGGTTTCTCTTATCCTCATGTTTTATGTTGTTTTTTATGTGTACCTATATATATGAATGTTTTTTTTTATTTTTTATTTTTTTTTTTGCTGCTATTCCACGTGTTCTCATCATGTTTCCTATATGTAAAATATTATATTCTTTAGACTTCCTTTATAGATTATTATTATTATATTTTTTTTTTTTAACACGATTTCTTCATTTCAAACTCTGATCATTCATGATTTAAACCCTTTTTATTTTATTTTTATAACTACAGCGATATGATATTGTTATTATCATTATGATGTGTATCTAATTTAAATAGGTGTTATGATAATATAATAGGCTCATTGAAATAGCTGAAACATAATTTAGGACTCATTATTTTTATTTTTTTAACATAAACATGTAAACTAACTAATTTGTGTTATATTGTCTGTTGTTTGTGATCTTCGCGCATCGATCCAGGTTCTCAAGGTATAGCGTTCTTTTTTTTTTATTTTTACCATTTATTTAGAGAAAAATATAGAGCACGCTATTAGATCTGGTGACGTGGTTTTTCGTCCATTAAAACACACATTCACTAACACACTATTATAACTCTCTCACACACACACACATACAAATCACGCACACACTCACACACACCGCTTTAGCACCAAACCATTTTATTATAACACTAAAATTTAAATTTCTATTTTCTAGAAATTCCAAATATTAAAATTATTTTAGAGGTAGAATAAAATATAGCTAAGCAATTATATCTTTTTTATATTATATTTTTTTATTTTTATTTTTTTTTTATGTACCATACACTTTTGCTTAGTTTTTTCTATTAGCTTTGTTTGTTTATATATTTTTATATAATGTGTACATCTTATAATATTTTATTTATATTTGTACAGTTTTCGGCATTTTCACTGATCAATATTTAACAAATCTATGCATTATATTATAGAATTAAATTTAAACCATTTAAATTTTATTTTATGTATACTGAAATACACGCGTATATACCATTTTGATAAAAAAAATACTTAAAAAAAAAAACTAATGACCTATAGTTTCATTTTAGRATAATAAACTATATATTATATACATRATAATTATATCACAGTGTTGATATTACGCACGACTGGTTGATATTTTTACTTTACTATTAGCTAAACAATAATGTATTAACACTATTAACAGTAGTTGTTATAAGAAGAAATCATGAATAGAAAAAAATAAATACAAAATGGTGTTGGACATTTGAGATTGATTCTAATGGGAAAGAATCTTCTAGTTTATGACCACACAAATAAATGTGAGGGCTGTATAAATTACACGTGTAGGCATGTACGTTATACACATATTGTGTAACGAAACGTCATAATGAACTTCTTAAGTGCTCAAACTCTGTTCCTTGTAGGTAATTTATTAGACTTATACGAGCACTATAGATCCGTGTATATAATATAAATACGTCAACCTTAATTTCATTAACCTCTGGATAATACTTAAACGTTAATTAAAAAAAAAAACCCCCCAAATCGATCCAACATAAATTGCGACTATTTTTATGAAATGTTCATACTATTTTTTTCTTTCAAATAATTATTATACTGCATGCATTACATTTCTATGCACATTTCGATTCGTTTAATTCGAAATTAAATCGTTTCTAACATAGAATTAGTTTTAATGTGTAACATATATATAATATTTAGTTTACGTAGACTTATAGATAATTAGTGTTTTTAATTTATTATTATAAAAAAATTTGTTTCTAATTATTTTTTTTTTACAACTCTAATCTGGTTTAATAAATTGTAGGTGGCTGTTAACACAATTCCAAATACTAATCAATGATGATGTAGTTATGTAATAGACATGTGCATGTATTATAGTTGAAAAAACACGATAATTTAAATACGAGGAAAAAAATTATTTCCTACATGTTTACGTTTATACCGTTCAAACTTAAAAAAAAAAGACTAAAACTGAAAAAAACTTTAAACTATTATTTTGCACAAGTTTATTATTGAACACTTAACACTTTGGTTCCGATACGTTATGATTACTTTGAGCTAGATAGAAACTAGATTGTAGTAATGCGCTTATCCACGTAAAAAAATGTCTTGTGATTTCGTTCATAGACATTTAATGAGAATTTGCTCGAGAAAATGCGTTTAAAAATTAAAAATTCACCTACCCATTATCTCGTATAACGAATCGCATAACTTCCAAAATTATAATTATAATCTTCGAATTGTTGATATTATTATTTTCATTTTTTCATTTGAAAATAAATTTCTAAAAGTTTTTTTATCGGGCAAACTCTCGAGTTATGTATACTTTTATTTGGAATAAGAATGTTTTCAACAATACTTGTATTTTTTTTCAAATGAAAATATGTGAAYATATATATATAATATGAATCTAAATAAGTATATTTTATCACTATATAATGATGACGGAAACCTAATTTATAAGTTTTTTTTTTACCGATAAAAAAAATATATCTAAATTATCACAGCGTATATCCGCAGCTAATGTGGAGTAAAAATCAGACCAACATTAAAACAAGTTTTTATTTTTATTTCGGAAACGTTGTAATAATATTATGTCGATATTTATCTTAAAAAGAAACATTGAAAAAAACCCATTTTTATTCGATGTTTCTTTCTGATGCCAGCATCATTATTTCCCCTTTATGACTACACAACATAAATGGTGAAATATATACAGTAGAAAGGTTGTTGAAAAGTTTCTCGTGCAGACATCATTCWTATCTCTTAGGCGAGATATCATTTACGAATATTATACATAAATACATAATGATAATATATTCTTAAATCACTTACATATTAGTCATCGTCATAACATTCTTATTCCACTTTGAGTATTATAATAGTGATATAAAAATAATTTGGTGAGTTATAATAAAGTCGGTTTATTTATTTAATAGCATCATGGGTATAATTATTATTATTGTTAAACGAGTACACGTTATTGCATAAATGCTTAATAAATATACGCTTATGGTTAAAATAGCTTTATTGCTCAACGTTTCACGTTTTCACGTTTTTACATTATTAATTTATTATTGGAATTCTTGTGGGTGTATTTTAGACAATGGCTGCCACAAAAAGAAACGCAGGACTGGCGTCGGGAGTTCCACGTCCCACACTCAACGACGAAGAACTGGTTAGTACCGAATTGAACAGATCACTTGTACTTTTTCGTTATTAAAAAATAGTTTTTCAGATGAAAAAATTCCGACGTTTATATGCTATCTCAAAGTTTTCTTTTTCTTCACTTATTTTTATTTTATTTTTTATTTTTTAGCTCAACAGAGACTGTTTAAAAGTCGCATCTGCTCGTATCAGTTTGAATACAAAATTAAATATATAAATATATATATATATGTATATATTCTATTCCAATTTCAAACAATGTTTTATAAATTAAAAACGACGCGAAAAGATAACATAAAAATGAACTTATAAATTACAGTATTTTTTCTGACTTTTGACATAATACGATAAAAAGTATGAAAACTCGATTTTATAACACTCATCATCTTTACTAGGTTGACAGAAATAAGACAGATTTCATTATTTCCATAAARTTATAGAAAAATAAGCAATACGAGTGTCTACCTAATTATAGGCAGGTACTTCRGTTTAATAATTATTTTAATAATAWCAAAATATATCAGAACGAGTGAATTAAATTCATTTACAAATATTTCATTTGCATTAAACATTTCAATAATGTATTTTATGTTAGTCCTTATAAAATRAGGTATAAGCTTATAAAATATAAACACATTAATTTAATCTTTTTTTTTCAACGAATACAGTCGCTCATGAGTTTTTTCTTTGACCTACACACAAGTTTTTCTCAGTGAGGCTCACAAAAAAAATAAATAAATAAATTATAATGAAAACTCATTAAAATTGTTTTATCATCATTCACTCTACATAGTTTATTTAAATTATTCATTCATTCGATATAAATATATACTACACACACTACTGTATACTTATAGACTTATAGTATATATTATATATTATATACCGTATAAAAAAATTTATAAAAGTTGTTTGTGATTCATTAAAATCTATTTCACGCAAACCTTTAATTCAAATCTTATACGATTTTTGCCACAATAATAAACATATACGTAGTCGAGTATAGAATCAATTTCGGACGCTTTTGAAATTTCAACTTAATGCGCGGCCTTACCTATACAAATAACGTGTAGGTATAAGCATAATGAATTATTTTAAAACAAAATGTGACAAAGTACTTAGGATAAATAAAAAAAAAAAAACCCAATATCAAAAATGAACAATAAAAACGTTTCGACTACTTTTTGACCGCGTAACGAGTTAACGTTTATGTTATGTTAAACGGACGCGTTATCGGATCACTACTCTAATAATATTGTATTATCGTTGACCGATCTAATGTACATCGGCGTCCGCCAAAATATTTCAGAAAATGCACGTGTACAAAAAAGCTCTGCAAGCTCTAATCTATCCAATATCGTCGACCACGCCGCATAATTTCGTCTCGTGGACTGCGACTTCGCCGACGTATTGTTATGAATGTGAAGGGCTGCTGTGGGGCATCGCCCGGCAAGGGGTACGGTGCACCGAATGCGGGGTCAAGTGCCACGAGAAGTGCAAAGAGCTCTTAAACGCCGACTGTTTGCAAAGTAAGTCATAACTTAAAAAACATATATATATATATATATATATTATTTAAACTATTATACAAACGTCGCGAGCAATAACAATAATTTGGCGCCGTGGAAATATTCAAATTAATATTTAACCGACCGACCGCGACATTATAATAATAATAATAATWATTATTATTATACATAGCTGAAACGCGACGTGTTTCGTAGCAATATGGCGCGCATTCGCCACGATATTAATATACGAGGACGAACGATTATTTTATCCAAAAGCAAACAAATTTTTAATACGAATAATGTAATATGTTATGCGATTATGCAAATCTAAATTTAAAAAAATAATGAAATATTACTTACGCCACACACGACCGATCGATATATTATACTAAAGTATCGCAGCGATGAAATACATAATATGCGTTCTTAATTTTTTTATAAATTTTATTAAAATCAAAAATAATTTAAATGCTCACAAATATTTACCTATATCATATTTTTGATTCCCGCAGCAGAAGAATATACCGTTTTATCTTTAGTAGTCTTACATCAAATAAATATAATGAATTCGCCCCAAGTGGTACGTTTAAAAACGTGTACGTACCTGTACATATAGTGAATACTTTTTCGAAGGATGTCTGAAATGTTATTCGTATTCGCTTTGCGACTTCTGATACGCGTTTCTATACGGCATTTGCCATTAACCCACAATTTTTAGGGCCCCCGGGAGGACCTACCTGATCAAACTTTGAATAGAAATAACTTTAAAACCCGTTCTATTTTTTTATTAGTGACACAGCAAATAACGCGTAGAACAATGGACCAGATAAAAAAAAATGTCAACCATAAAAAGTGGTCATCATATTTTCAAAGTTTTCGAAAATCTTTTTGCCAATAAAATTATTTTTTCATGTGGTGTATAAAAATCGAACAAATACAGTTATATTATATTTCTTATTCGTATTTTATACCACTTACATTTACCTACCTACTTATATTATTATTGAAAACACCAAAACTTATTTATATGAATCTTTTTTTTTTTGTTTTGCTTCCTATAAATAATAGGAGCGGCCGAAAAAAGTTCCAAGCACGGTGCCGAAGATAAAGCTATATCAATTATACAGGCGATGAAGGACAGAATGTTGCAACGCGAACGAGATCATCCAGAGATTTTCGAACTCATCAGGTTAGTTAACATTTTAATATCGAACATCAAATTTAGAAAATTAACAACCAAATCGTAAGAGCCTTTTGTGCAATTGTTGGTAAACTGCAATTGTAGATATTTCACAGCAGGCTGCATGAGTTTCAGTCAATTTATTGTCAACATTTTCCTTAAACGAAATTCCGGTAGGAATCACTTACTATTGTCTACTTTAATCAATATTATACCCTGTCAAATATTATTTTAACATTTTGTTTATTGTTGATATTCATAAAAATTAAAACATCTTTCAACAATCCATAACTTTTAAAATTAATATACCATAACGTCTATTGAAAAATGGGCGGTGACTTCTGAAACAAAAAAGTTAAACCGTATCGTTAATAATTTTAATAAGCGACACCAAACTTTGTAACATAATATATTGTGTACTTTTTTTTTTCTTAATTAATTATATCGATTTTCTGAGATGTATAGTTTTTTCAACAATAACACTTAAACCACAGTGGAAAATTTGATAACAGTCAATACTACTGTACCTATCTCAGGCTAAGACTTTGTTCTTTTTTTTTTTTTTGTCCGAGTATAACGAACACGAATAGTCCCTAAAATGAATCTTAACTCGTACAAAAGAAATATATCTATCGACACAATGTCGTCGGTGCACACGGACGACACGGTATCCTCGTAAACGGAAACATATGGCAATCGTTGGAAAAGAATTGGGGTCAAAATAGGACGACACGCGTGACGCAATATATACAGCGCTTATTAAATAGACGTCTTAGAACAAATGGAACACTGTCAGATTAATTTCAATCTGCTCGTCACCAGACACGTCTTCTATTACGAACAAACCGAGTTAACGGATTCCACGCGAYTGAATTGGATTCGGTTGAAAAGCTGTTATCGATTCTGCGCGTTAGACACCTAACCGAAATGACAGCGATCACGTGTACACAACCTAAGCGGATGCAATTTATAATGGTTATACGATGATAAAGAAATAAACCGCCGATTTTCCGACGTAAACGACACCGTTTGTTTGTTCTAAATGTGCGTCTGGGACTCGTTCGACGTTTGTGCGAAAACAACTAACAGACATTTCCAGGCCGTTGAGAAATACACGTATACAACGTCTGGAAGAAGTTCTTATTAATAGCTTAACATAATTCACGGCAGTGTTGGGTGGTGTGAACAAAACAAAACAAAAAAATTGGTTGTTATGTGTTTTTTTTTTAAATTATATGCAGATCAGTGTTCGGCGTTGAGGAGAAAAGCCATCAAGGTCATATTAAAGCGGTGAAACAATCGGTTTTGGATGGTACTTGCAAGTGGTCAGCAAAAATTGCCATCACAGGTTTGTTTAAAAAAAAAAAACCAATTTGACATTATGAGCAGACGACTTCAAAGAGCTTTGTGTGGCAACCTTCATTGCGCTTGGTGTTGAATTTTATGGAATTGGTGTTTTACTATTTTGATATGTTTAACCCCTCATGTGTATATTTTAAGCACGAGATTTCTAATGAAAATTCTTTCAATCAACTATAATTTTGTATATTTTTTTTTTTAACTTCTTTTGTGCATGGTTTATTGTTTGTTCACTAATACAAATGTCTGAAATGTGTTTACAAACGTTTATATTTTTCCTCGCTTACATCTATGATGCATTCAAAAATATTAAGAAAGAATTTTCATTTATTTAAATCTAAACATTTTCTATTTTGGTTCCTTTYCTCCGATCAATTTGTGTGTAAATATTTGTTTTTATTGTTTTGGTTTTTGCGTATTTGAAGAACCATGTTTTCTGTGGAACCTGATATGCATATCGATTCCTTGGAGCAAGCGGAAGCTATCGTTCTTGAAGGCACTTCTAAATGGTCGTGCAAAATCGAAATAACAGGTCAGCGGTTAGGCTTATTAGGGTTCACTATTACTCACAGCTTAGAAATTGGAATCGAGCAAATATTTGCTAATAATTAAATTTCAAATCAAACAAATCACATAAATCATCGATATCTAGTTAGCAGAAGTAACTTAAAAGACGTCTTCCGAAAAAAATTAACGCTTATTGCATGCATTTATAATATTGTTGTTGTTAGTATGCACGTGCAAAATATTGTACATATAGCTTTAGAATGAACCCGTGCTTTAGATTTATTTAACTCTTATTTTTTAATAATTATTGACTATAATATTTCATTTTTACTATAGTAAAATGTGCTCAAGGACTCATCGCAAAAGACAAAAGTGGTACATCAGATCCATACGTAACTGTTCAAGTGGGTAAAGTGAAAAAAAGAACGCGAACTATGCCTCAAGAGCTCAATCCTGTTTGGAATGAAAAATTTTATTTGTAAGTATTTCTTCCTCCCTTTCTCTGTCACCGTATAAAATATGTTTTATTACATGTAAGTACATACATGTATACCTATAAATTTTCAATATTTATAGCGAATGCCATAATTCTTCGGATCGAATCAAAGTCAGGGTATGGGACGAAGACAACGACCTAAAATCAAGACTCAGACAAAAATTAACCAGAGAATCGGACGATTTTTTAGGACAAACTATTATCGAGGTATATACATATYAAATACATAATATTTGTGCGAGAGCGTATGACTAAAAAGTAAGTATTTATAGGTTCGGACATTGTCGGGCGAAATGGACGTTTGGTACAATCTCGAAAAAAGGACTGATAAATCAGCGGTATCCGGTGCTATTCGATTACATATCAATGTAGAAATCAAAGGGGAGGAAAAAGTCGCTCCTTATCATATCCAATACACGTGTCTTCATGAAAATCTATTTCACTCGCTGTGCGAAAACAACGCTGGAATAGTTCACCTGCCTCAAGCTAAGGGAGAAGATGGATGGAAATTGTATTTTGAATCCCCCGCGCAAGATATCGTCGACGAATTCGCCATGAGATATGGCATAGAGTCCATTTACCAAGCAATGACGTGAGTTCATCATCATATATGGTAATTTTAAAACTTATTATATTTATAGGAATAATTTCGTATTCTTTCCAGACACTTTCATTGTCTTTCAACGAAATATTTATGCCCTGGCGTCCCAGCGGTAATGAGTACTTTGTTGGCGAATATCAATGCCTACTATGCACACACAACATCTAGTTCCGCCGTTAGCGCAAGCGACCGTTTCGCAGCATCTAATTTCGGAGTAACTATCATTGCTGATAAAAAAAACATAATGTAACTATTTACTTCCAGTCATGGTATAAATTTTTTTTTTCATTATTTATAGAAAGAAAAATTCGTAAAGCTGCTTGATCAGCTACATAATTCGCTCAGAATAGATTTATCAATGTATAGAAATAACTTTCCGGCATCCAGTCAAGAAAAATTAATGGATCTTAAATCGACTGTCGATTTGTTGACCAGTATCACATTTTTCAGAATGAAGGTATTTTCTTTTWAAAAAAAACATAACTCAGGTATACAGTAGCACAACAATTATTACATAATTTGGATTTAGGTACAAGAACTTTCAAGTCCGCCCAGAGCTAGTACCGTCGTCAAGGACTGCGTCAAAGCATGTCTAAGGTCCACTTATCAATTTCTGTTTGCTAATTGTTATGATTTATACGGCAGAGAATATCAGGTATTTATTACGCTTTTCGAAATTAAATGTTAAACATTTGCCTATTTGGCTGAAATGTTTTCAGTAAAACAATTTCATTTATTTTAAATTTTAATGATATTAATAATTTCACTGTTAATCGGACGATTTTAAATTTTTAAAAGTTAAACTATCATATATCAAAAATATATATTATGAATGTATTACATTATTTAAAATTACTTAGTAATTGCTCATTAAATAAACTGTTTTGTTTTAAAGACTGATCCAAATGAAAAAAGAGATGAAGACACGGGACCAAAATTAGATGATTTAGGCTTTTGGGATAAGCTTGTAGCACTCGTTGCTTCCGTAATTGAAGAAGATAGAAATAGTTATGCACCTGTTCTAAGTCAATTCCCAGCAGAACTCAATATAGGACAGGTAAATAATTATCTAATATATTATTAATAGTATTRTTTACATAACATAATATTACAGTATTTTATCTTATGACGCATGCTTATAAATCAAAATATTTATTACAGTTGTCCGCGGCAACAATGTGGAGCTTCTTCGCCGTAGACATGAAGTATGCCCTAGAAGAGCATGAAACACACAGGCTTTGTAAAACTTCAGCATACATGAACCTACATTTCAAAGTAAAATGGCTGTTTACTAATTATGTAAAAGACGCACCGCCGTACAAAGACGCAATTCCCGAGTACCCATCTTGGTTTGAACCGTTCGTAATGCAATGGCTTAACGAGAACGACGACGTATCTTTGGAATATTTGCACGGAGCTTTTAACAGGGACAAAAAAGATGGGGTGAGCAGGCGTCGCAAAGTTCTTGAACTTTGATCTGAAAGTTTTTTAAACTTTATTTTATAATTATAGTTTCAAAGAAGTTCGGAGCATGCGTTATTTTCCAACTCAGTGGTGGACGTATTCACTCAGCTWACACAATGTTTTGGGGTTATATCAAAATTGGAATGTCCTGACCCTGAGATATCCAATCGATACATGAAGAGACTTGCCAAAACAATTGTCAAAGTGTTATTGGCATACGTAGACATAGTTCAAAAAGAATTTGACGCTAAAGAGCTAGATGAAAGAACTGTAAGTTAAAAATATTTTACTCGTGTATATATATTTATGTTGTTTACAACGCATATACTAAATTAATTTATTGAATTTATAGGCTTGTATATTAATGAATAACATCCAACAACTACGAGTTCAACTAACAAAAATGTTTGAATCAATGGGTGGTAAACAACTGGAAGAAGATGCTACAGATATTCTAAACGACTTACAAACACAATTATTAAAAGCTTTAGATGAACTATCTGGAAAATTCGGAAAAAGGTATGTGTAAATAATATTTGACTTATTCTTATGCACATGTATAATAATATACATAGATTATTTGATTGATAACCTACTAAAATACCAACAWTTTCGAAGTGTTTAAGTGATAAATGTCTTAAAAGCTTAAGACTTATATTTTCCATACCAAAAATAATTATACAAAAAAAAAAATGTGATCAAATGTTTTAGTTTGGAACCTCAAATTAAAAAAAGTGTCAAAGAACTGGGTGAGTTATTGCAAAGTATCAAAGGAGGTAGCCAAAATCCCCAACAAGTGTCCATGATGGAAGTAGACGAAATATTAAGACCATTRATGGATCTAATGGATGGCTCGTTATCATTATTTGCTCAAACTTGCGAGAAACCCGTTCTAAAACGAATTCTTCGTGAATTGTGGAAACTTGTGATAAGAATATTGGAAAGATCAGTAGTTCTACCACCAATGATGGATAAAAGTGTAAGAGATATTACTTAAAATAAATAACACAAAACTATACAATTTATGAGGTTAATGTAATTGTTTTAATAAACTCGTTATTTTTAATTCAGATGATATTGAAAAACCTTAGTGAAAACGCTAGATCACTGGCAGCTAATGCTAGAATTGAAGACATGTCCAGATTAATAAGAAATCACATGGCTGGAAAGCAAGACGTTAAAAATGCTCTAACTGGAGTGATGGTAATTATACAAATTATTTTATAACGCAACATTAATAAAAAGAATATGTCTAACAAGTAACAACTGACTTAAGTAAACTCAGTAAACTCGTTCTCAAATGGACAATTTTTTTCCACACAACTCAAAATCGACAACACTATTGGGTCTATTTTTTCGATACATCATACTTCTAAAATAATATGGTATTTTTGTATTTATTTTCGATAACTAATACGTTTATGATCACGAGGAGTTTTATACAGGCAATTAATCAATGCCTACCTATAATATGTCTATGTAATTTTTCCGTAATCATTTTTTCACCATAATAATATTATAATATGTAATATATAATATGTACCAATGTATTTGGTAAAAAACTTGGAGAGTGAGAAATCGGAATTTTATTTCTAAAAACATAAAAATTTAGTAGTTATATAAAAAATAAGTTTCAAGTTTTTATCAAATGCAAATAAAATATTCGAAATCGTATTATATAATAAATAASAAACATTGTGTTTTTCTTTTAAACATTGACTTCTTCTGGAYACTTCTGAAACACGATAAACAAAATATGTTATAACTTTTAACTAAAACAGACTGCGTTAGATATATTAGGGTTAAGTTCATTGACAATATAGTTTTTAGTTACACGTATATAGCACTATGACAAAAACAATATTTTAAAAATGCAATKCCTTTATGGMAAAAAATAGCTAATATCGACCACCAACCGAACCTATATTACCGGACAATTATTCTTGCGAAAAAATAATCAACTGATTATTTTTTTTAACCAAAAATTATGTATTTGCTTAGGATATGGAAAAGAACTTGAACACTAAGCAATGCAGGGTCTTAGAATCCGCACTGAAAACAATCAAGACATATTTCCATGCCGGCGGAAATGGACTAAAAAAGAAGTATTTGGATAAGAGCTCAGACCTTTTGTCTCTGTGCTATGCTTTGTCACTTTATACAAGATCCACAGACGAACTGATCAAGACGTTTGTGTTGTCACAATTGCATCAAGGTGTGTTTTATTTATAATATCACTAAAATAAGAAAGAGTGGAGGAGAGTTTTTTATTTTTTACCATAGGTCTAATTAATGGATTTTAGTTGTGTTATTACTTGTTAACAATGAATGTTTTTATGCTATAAAGTGCCACAAAAAAATGATCCATTACCCCGGCAACCRTCACTGATGAGTGGTACTGAAGTAAAAGATGAAATGGACGAAATGGATTATGACGAAGACGACGAAACAGAAGAGGAAGAAGCGTTAGATGAAGCAGAAGAAGATGTAAAATCAATGGGAAGTCGAATGGAAAAACTATTTGAAATTTCAAGGAGACCATTACAAGGTAAAAATATAACCTCTAAAGTACACATTATTTTTTAAGCTCTTTAAAATTACTCATAATCGTATAAACAGTTATATAGGTATTAGGTATTTTGATATATTAATAAGGATTTATAAAAAAAAAATGTATGATGTAATATTATAGTATCTATGGGTACATAACAGGTACTTATTAAAGTATATTATAGCTACTATAATAAGTTAATAAGTTCTTATATTTTGTGTATATTATAATATACAAAAGAACAAGAAAACCCGATGTTTTGTACTTTCTTCGCATGACTAAAAGTAGTTTCAAATATTTATGATAATGTTTAAAAGTTATTAACGAAAAATTGTTTTTATTTTTTTGTTTACATATTTATAATTAGAAAATTACGTATATGAAGAACCTTATGGAGAAATTTCTATTAACGTTTACATTGAAACACATCCAACAAATAACGAATTTAAGCTCACTGTAACAGGTATGCATTATATTTAATATTTATGACTACCTACCTATATGTTTCTTAGTTAAGATTTCAATTTTTAATAATAAATCGAAAATTTTCATTCAAAACTGAAAATAATTGTGTATATTTTACATTAATACAACATTCGTAGACATTCAAAAATAACAATAAGTAAGAGTAACTACCAATAGTTATTTATTGTTGTATTTGCGAAAGTTTATTAATACACTTTTTTCGGTTTGTTTTCTAAATGGCTATTGTATTGATTCTTTTCTTACTTAACTCTACGTATTTACATTGATTTCATACCTATTATATTTACTTAAAAAAAAAAAAAATGTTTGTGTTGAACATGTGATATATTTTTCTTTTTATAATATGATGTTCACATGACACAAAACCAAAAAAAATATAAAATCATAAAACACGCTGAAACCATAAAACCTATACTGTTCACGTCACTTTTAATACTCATTCCTCAATAAAAAAAATCTCACATTGATTTCTAATAATGGAATAACGCAATCTAGTTTGGTTTACGAAAATACATAAAATCGCACTCGTTTCTCTTTTCGCTTGCATCTAATAAAATCTCATTTTACCCCAATATATTACTTATATTTATGGAAAAATATAAAATGGAATATAATATATTATGTTCGCCTCATAAATAATATATCGAACTTTACCGCCTTATATAAAAATAAAAATACTAATTCCCGAAATAACCCCATAAGTGAACTATACTATCGTTTAACAATAGTAATATGAGAATATTATTATATTTTCTATGATAATAATTAAACACACATCACATCCGGAAAACGAACCAAATATACATATTAATACTACTGAATTTTTCTGTTAGCACGACGTACACAGCTATAATGTTAATAATTTTTCGTCTTTATTACGAYACACTTTTATACTTTTCGGGTTTATCATTAAACAATTATAGTTGTGTACATTATTTCTAGTATAAAAGTCGTAATAGTAAGAGTTATATTATATAGGTGCTCTTATACGCGTACTCGAKTAGTGTACCGCGGTATTCATAATAGGTACTTTTCAAAAGTAATTATTCCTCTAAAACGAACCAACGCACTAAAATATWACAATATTACAACTACGCACTTAAAATATGTATAGAAATTATTTTATGATAATGCTATAATATTCTGCTAAACATAATAATTAATATCCAGCATTATTTTAACAAGTCATATTTTCTGCATAGCGCAATTTTTCATATTATAAGCATTATATTATTATTATTACATTATCTATATAATAACACTACAAATGGGGTGGATGTTACTCTATGACAGTGGTTGCTGCTAACACGCTGGTATGGCCAACGACCGGTATGTTTCGACCGTTCGTCGAGGTAAACCTCATTGGACCGAGACTAGCGGACAAGAAAAGAAAACAGTCGACGAAGAGCAAGTCGGGCAGTTGGAGCCCTAGATACAACGAAGCGTTCGTATTGTAAGTATATTATTATAATATTTTAGTCTACGTCGAACTAGACAAAATCGGTTTTTTTCTTTTTGWACAGTTCGATTAGCGCAATCGAAGATTTGGAATGTTACGAATTGCATTTTTGTGTGAAAGACTACTGTTTTGCTCGGGAAGATCGGCTCGTTGGCGTGGCGGTTTTGCAGATGCGACACGTTCCCATAATGGTAATTAACAATAAATTGGGATAGCAATAACATTTTCGAAAAACTTCTTCTATCGTTTCATCTGTTTGTCTCATTATTTACTCGTTAAGGTCCGTACCGGTGAGTGGTTAGGCCTCGGCAGGCGGATACAAATGAACGAGACTGGGTGGACGATTTTGCGGATACTTTCACAGAGGTACAACGATGACGTTGCTAAGGAATTCGTGAAGCTCAAGTCGGAGACCAGACAGGAAGACCAGTCGTCCGTGCAGGGGTCGTAAACGCAAACCGACGTGGGTATTCATCACCAATAGTCTTCCATTGAAAACAAAAAATTAAGACTAGTTAAAATAATAAATTAAGTTCGATATATTATTGTACAAAAAAAAAAATAATAATAATAATAATGAAAATCTATCAAGTAAGAGTTGTGAATAGTAATAACTTAACAAGGGCACAAACACAATGGAAGTTCTTGTTGCAATATTTTTATTGTAATATAGTCGGAAAAGTGATAGTTTTGAAGCGAAATAATAACGTTGGTCTTTTTCATATTATTCGTTTTTCGTGTAAAAAAAAAAAATATTTACGTTCGTAGTAATAAATTCTGAAAGAAAAAACACATAAAAAATTGACCAACATTTTGAGTTTTAAACAAATCAACGGGACCATTCTCAAATTAAAAATTAATTATTCAACTTAATACAATGCAGTGTTTGGTTTTAATGATCGTAAAACTTTCTGTGTGGTAGATATAGGTACCCGGAGTACCGGGGCGTTTGGATGGAATAGGGTGAACACCACTAATTTTAAGGTGGCTTTGAAAATTTTAATATTTAAACATTTGTTGTTCTAAATTCACAGTACAATATTTAGGTAAATTAAAATTCTACTGTTWAAAGGGGGACACTATAATAATATAATATACTGCAGGTGCGCCATCTCGCAATACCGACGAAATCTACCCACCTATTACACTATATATTAAATGCGCTCTGCTGTTTTCAACAAACCAATATTTTTGTACAAAAATAATATTCATCCATACCAGCCGCGGTAATGTTGTTGTACCGTTACCTATTCCTAGCACTATACGTAGGACACAATTACAATATTCTGCATACTAATATGATAATATATTATCGTACCATCCGTACCGAGATGGGACGTCATTTTTTCCCCGGAAGTTCCGACAAATCGTTGTGTAATGCCTTTGCTGTAGTTGTTGTTTCGAACAGGCCTGTCTACTCCGGAACCTATGGCCAATGATGGCTAAATCGTGTAATCGATCCGTAAACCGATTACCATCCGGTCGGATGCGTGATCGCGGAACGCATTATCGTCTTCATGTCTTACGGGTGATCACGCCTATTCTAACACTCTGACTCAAGTATATAATGTTATGTAATGTACATTTCCTTGGACTCGACGACTTGATAATACGAAATATCGGTCATTTTATTGTGAAACATTAAACATAAAAGCTATACATGTTTAAACATCCATCGTTATACCTACATGCCTATACCTACCTATATATAATACCCATTTAAATGCTTTTAACTATTGCAACTCTAATGTTAGTATTAAACTATACCATACACGTGTTATATATATTTTAATATACAATATAAGTATATATATTGACTAATAACGTCTTCCATTATACATCATGTTGTTTTCTTCTAGTACGCATCCATCTTGTTGATTTCGTGTAGAGAGATTAATTTTATTGTTCTTGTTTTCATTCCATTMGCTCGATTATTTTATTGTAATTTTACATTTCTTAGTGTCGTTAAGTAATTTTCATTATAATCGTTTAATACTATTTTTTCTTGGCTATTGAGCATTTTACAGAATATATAACATTTTAAAACTTCCTGACGAACTTGGCGTAAACTATAATATTATGTGTCAGGGGGGGGGAGAGAAATAATAGTAATAATAATAGGCCTCATTCTTATACCCTACTCTTATTCCAAATTTGCATTATTTACTTGGTAATATTCAACATTTTTGGGAAACACCTATTTTTTTATTCAATAGGTTATAATTTATATTATATCCGTCCTAATACCCAATTATTTTATTGGTCAAAAGGGTTTCACATGTAATATTGTTTTCACAGCAATAATTAATTCGTATTCGTATTGTAAAAAAAATTTATTTAACCCAACGCATCGTTGAATATTATTTACAAAATAAAATATGTGATAAAACATCGATATATTCAAATTATTTTTTATCAATTGTATTGTAAATTAATGTTAAAAACCAATATTTATATTAATATTATAACAATATGTGTATATTATATGAATTAACTATTTAAGCTAGCAAAACTATTGTAAACTACATAATGTGCAGGTGGCCTACGTTGAAAACTTTATACGAGATTTTGTTTCAAAAGTTACCTTCCAAACTCTTATCCAAAACACTCGTTATTTTTATTATGTTAATTTCCCAAACCCAACCAACCGTACCATACATATCGATCGATTGTTTCTTATTTTATGTTGCTATAAATAATTATTATATTAGTATTGTGCTAATGATAATATTAATCTATTGCTATAATCATATGTTTGTAAGTTCAAGTATAGGGGCCTTTATTTTTTATATAATATATAACTTAGACGTTGAATATTTTAGTCGAATCTGTTAAATTTCGGTTTTAGATTGTTATAACAAACATTTACTATATATCGTCATTATGATTAACCAGGGTAAACGTATTAAGCAATGTGTTGTTTTTGTATTAATATTTTATTGTAATTATGCACTTATAATAATTTTTTAACATTTTTTTTATATATATATATAATATATATACCAACTTCGGTTTCTAAACAAACATTTATAAAAAAAAAAAGAATGAAATGAAAAAAAAAACGCAAGACAATATGATAATTATATATTGTTTGAACCGAAACTATTTATTGTGTTACTGCCCATAACGTAATTTCGGTATATTTTCAAACGGTGTCTATGAAAAATTATTAACTTGTCTATGCTCCTCTATTATCTTAGTCTTATACTTGATACTATTATTTTTGATTTCATTCAAAACGAGTAAGTTATTAATATTGTTATATTTGATTTGTAAAGATAAATGAAATCATCAATAATACCTAATCATCTATATATTTAAGCTGAATAAAGTGCGCTTTTTGTCTATACTTCCTAATTTAAGTCCTCCTCGTTGTTTTTGATTTATATAAACGGCGTGGCATGGTAACGATAATAATACTGATAACAACAGTACCCAATACCAACCATTATATTGTTATTATAACTGTTATTATTGTTGTTACACTGTTATTATCATTACTAATGTATGCCACTCTACCTTATTATTACTACTATATATACATTATATACTATACGAATATAATATATATATATATATATATATATTTGATTTATTGGTAAATTCCTTTTTAAAATTCATATCTCTCGTACTTTTTAAACATAATAATAAAATATATTGTATAACTTGTGCATAATATACAATGGAAACTTGATATTTATACGTTATATACTTACATTACTTGTTGAAAATAAACTGAGGTTTTTATCATACATACACAAATCGTTACCATAATGATAATTATAACATTAATATGATAATGCAGTAATAATATTATAATTCTGCCGTATTTGGCTACGGTCGGTGAGTGATTAGGTGAGACCAATACAACCAACTAATACAAGAATATTCTTGCTGCACTCCAAAGTTTTACTAAATTTACTCAATTATAATCATTCGATATTTATTATTTATTATAGACTATGGTTTATGTGTTATAAATTAATATAAATTCGAGAATTTCCCTGTGACATGACATCAGTTATTCAAAAGTAACCCACCCCCTTCGAGAACACGTGCTGTAGTTACAGTACTTATAATTTATACTAACCTGTCTGGGCGTCACTGGGTCTATGGGTGAGATTCCGCGCAGATTGAGAGTAAGATTATGGTAAATATTTTTCGCGAAAACAAATTGCTGTGCAAGATCTATAGATTGGTCGTAAAATATAAGAAAATTGTACACTTGCTGCAACGTGCAACGCCCCGCTCTCGTTAGACGTGATTGCTGTCAGCTTACTACATATAATATATTGTATGACAGGTACCTTCACGTATGTTTCATGTAAGTATATATTATGCATCCATTATAAATGTCAGTCGTTAATGCTTATCTACCCGTCGTGCAGGTTCGTATCGTTTAGAGAAGGTTTCCGAGGAGCGTGCTGTATAATAATTCATTCGGATGGGACAAGCGAATAATACACGTTTAAACTCGATTTCGCATGTCTGACCGAAAATAAAATCGCATTACCTGCATGGTTATTTGCCTACAATGGTGTTCGAAAAATAAAAATGAAATCCACTCAATCGCGATACCCAAAACGATAAATCATCTTAATGCCGCGTTTTTTTCCTCGTTACGCGGCACAGTTATCAATGACGCACGCGTATGTAATGTATAATAATATATTAAATGATTTATGTTTCATTCGGTAAACCATGTCATGTCATAGCTATAATATATATATATATAGATGACATTGCAGTGATGAACTATACCACCACGTCTGACACTGCATTACCCGAAGTTTCGAATTTCAGACGTCAATAATAATATTTCTGTCGTCTGCCGATTGAATCAATTAACGTAATAAAATTATATCAATCTGTACATAAACCAAGAACAGCGCACAATGTATGCGATTCGGTAGCATTATATACGATTTTTTATTGTTTGAAATTCGCCGAAAACAGTTTTCAGTTAAAAACTATGAAATGTTTAGGCCTACATCAAACATTCAAACGTCTTGTTCCAACGCMTYAAAAAAAAAAAAAAACAACCTATAATATGAATTTTAAAAACTGATGTTTGATAATTGTGTATGATCTAAGGGAGTGTCTGGTATATCGTCACTAAAATTACTATAACTTTATTATAGTGAGGACGCCACAATTTCGTTTTGATTAAAATTAAAATTGTAAAAATATTTAAATAAGTATAGGTATTCAAAATTACCTTTCAAGAGGTCCTGCATGTCAGTACACCTTGGTTAGCTTAAACATTGTTTTCAGGTGGTTTCGTGGTGGTTTTGTGCTGAAAAAAAAACATGAATTAAGATTACTATGCAAATACAAATTAGAAACTAAGGGTTCAACAACTTTCATAAAAGTTGATTTGAATTCGAATATAAACACATCGAGCCATCGATGTACACTTGAAACTTGAGAACAAAATATGCTGAACGATAGTTAGCGACAACAAATTCACATCGCATTAACTTCTGAAAACGTAGATATACTATATTATAACTTCAGTTATTGAATTTGGACTCTATTAGTTGTTTAGTTGAATTCCGAGTCGTATAAAAAAAACACATAATATTTTACATTTAATGAATCAATGGCGGTGAGCTAATGGATCCCAGACATGATTTAGTAGCTTGTAATTGACCCATTAAGTTGTAGTGTAACATAAAGTTATTTTTTCAGTGTCATTTTTATTTTWTCAATATTACTCATTCATGCAAAAGAATGATATTTGTTCTGTTTAAAAACTATTGCTTTTATATTTTACAAATATGAATACTTTTTTCACGTTATTGATATATAAATATTAAAACGCATTTTACAGTCAACGTCTTTCTAGTATGACATCCAATTTAAACCATTATAATATTATGTCGAATGTCTTATCAGCTATCACTCAATTATTGTATTAAAATGACATAGGCATGTTAATTTAATAATTATTTTTTTTTGTAAGGAGAACCCGCGGCAACATAGGCCATTGGGTGTGGGGTGGTACGGTAGGGGTTATTTTTGTATGTTTGTTTGTAGGTTTTTAAGTGGGTATATAGGGTTGTAACACGTGTTTGTGTATGTGTGGCAAGGATATGTTGCTAAAAATCCCGGGTGGTCACCCATCCGGGAGCTAGTAACTGCGACCGGTACGTACGCTCAGTGCGTTTCCGCAGATTGAGCGTACGACCGTGCCTCACCAAGCCACTAATTTTATAATGTAGACCTCTTTATCGACTTACCTACTGTTGGCTTTAATTATATAATCAATATACGATTTAAATGCAGTAATTATAAAAACTTAGAAAGGAAGTAACTCTAGTAAGAACTCGGGAAAACCAAGTAGGTACATTAAAATTGATGTAAAACAATGTTTTAAATACGAGCTAGGGTTATCCAAGTTTTGGTAAAATTAAAAAATTGTCCAACTTTAACAATAAGAATAGTACAGTAAAACAACAAACTCTAGCATTCAGATTGTTTCTACTGAAAACTTCAAGAATTAAGTTGTTCCCATATTATTTTTACGCAATTAGTAGAGTAAGTTATAAATGGCATATGTATTAGGTATATCAGTTTCTCTCATCGCAAAAGAAAAAAATGTTTTTAGATCACGATTGTCGGTTCTRATATAAAATTGAAATTCTAAGTTATTATGCACGACAAAATCCGTGTTCCACACTAGCACCTGACTATATTTGGTCATTTTTTTCCATTAGCTTTCCTTACGTTTAAAGTCACTCTCATATAGTCTTATCTGTTATATATGTAATTTGTATGTCAAAAAGACACTATGAATATAATGTCACAATATTACCTCTATGTAACTCTTGTTTTCTCGYTCTACTGTTATAATGAAATCAGTGTTAAGCATGTACTGATGAGTGAACGTACTAACTTCTAAGTTCACTGGTAATGTGTATTCACTATAAATAATATTTGTTTTTATTAATGTGTGTTAAATTGCCTACTTTAAGCCCCTTAAAAACCAACTATAGTTTCCAATATCACAATAATTATTCAAATCGGCACAAATGAGTTGTAGTGTAAGGTAAACCACAATTTTTTTTTCCTTCTCCAAACATTATCTTCAATCGTAAGGTAATAAACGTAAACTCAATCCGGGTTGTTGTAAATCAGGCGTTTCATTTCAATATCATAGACTGCACAGACATTATACAACTACACTGTTCAAACATGATTTGCAACAATTAACTGTTATCAATATTAAATAACACAAACACAATATTACGTCAATATTGTTATTGCTATTATCAAAATTCAATAAAAAAAAAAAACGCACTTATCTCGGTACGTTGTCCGTGTCCCGTGCTCCTGTGACTTAAACTTTGAACACAACAACGACTCTTCTGATTGTTAGTTATTATTTGTGACTTACGTGTTTAAGTCGTTCACCGCATTCGTTTCTAGTTTGAAATTCGTTTTTGAGTGGCTTTAGTTGTTGAGTCCGTGCCGAGTACGTCGTACTTGTGACATTCCAGTTTGGCGTGTGGTAGGTATTTGTTCAATTTTCGAGTCGACGATTGAGTTCCGCGGTGGCCGTCCAATCTTACCTCGATCTAACGATGAACAGCAGCGACAGCGATGATTTGACCGAAGAATTCTTAACAGACGACCATCAAAATTTCTTATCCCAAGGTTAGTATGTGAAAAGAAATATGTGCATTACAATATTAATATCAGATATTGTTTAGGTTACTTGTAGAAAGTGTGGAAAGGTATATTACTTATGTTTCTTATTTCTATGGGGTTGAATTTAAGCGGAGTCGATAATATTATAAACATGAATTGACGTGTATTTATACGATTCATTAATTAGTTAGTTAGGTAATCCCGGGTAATTTACAGTTAAAATGTTTAATGATCACATGCATAAAATTATATGTTAACWATTGATTCAACTATGGGTTCATTAAAAAAAGATGGTTCAACTCTCCCCAAAGACCACCCAACCACAAAAATAAACCACACAAAACCGCTCAATTCGCTCGCAAATTAGGTACAATTTAACTGTCAACAACTCACTGTATTTTTTTTTTTGAAATTAAATAGGTAAATGTATCTTATTCAGTAAAACTTACTGTTTAGACATTTAGTATTTACAAACATTTTGATAGTATATTTGCATACATTTATAGGATATAAACTTTATTATACTTCTTACCTATTTATTATTTATTATATAAGAATAAAACTTAATATGTAGTAGGTACATAAATTATAAATATGAAAAACATATTGAGGTTTTTGTTCATAAAATAAAAAATAAAAAATAATAATTTCAGTTTACCCAAAATACCAAACATTAGGTTAGATGTTTTGATAGTACAGATGTATTACTGGCAAATTCAATATATACAATGCAACTAGACGGTATTATTGGCTTTGAAGATAATTTTAGGTTTTTTCCCAATTTCGATTTTCAACCAACGATAGTCAATAAATAATCCCACAATACCTACATAATGTTAATCAAAYTATTAAGTATTTAATTATCAGACTATTATCAGAATTGTTTGCAAGTATAGCATTTTTAAAGTATAAACATAATAATAACCACTGTACTGTATTTTTCGGAAGTTTAGAAAAGGCACATACTAAGAATTATGCTCAAAATATTAAATAAATAATAATAGTAATATTATGTTCTGTAAAGTGTTAAAAACTCCTTCTTCTTCTATTTTTGATATCAACATTTCATTTTGAAAAAAAAAAGTTTTACTCCTTACAATTAATCAGTGGGTATTTCACTCAATCATTATTTTACTAAAAAGTGAAAAAACAACATAATTTATGATAAAATGTAAGTAATTATAACATACCTCACAGTAATTCAACTTTATCCAAAATCCCACTTGTTAGATTATCAAAAGTATAATTTCTGTAAGCCAGTCTTCAAATGACACAATTAACACTCCAGTACCTTTATAATTTTAATTTTACGACTATATATACGTTCTATGATTACAGAAATTTTTTTTAAGATGTTATTAAATTGTTATATTTGTATATCAATTAACAACTTACCCATTTCAGATTTATAAAATTCCTATTTTCTGTTTTTTAGGACAAGATGCCCAAGATGGTGTGGAAATGGTCACATTGGACAATGAAGATGACTCATCAAATCAAGGAGAAGTGTATGAACTTAAATTTGGCAAACCACTTCGAGAACAAGATAGATTCCTTCCTATTGCCAATATTGCAAAAATTATGAAAAAATCCATACCTGAAGGTGGAAAGGTTGGCTTATAAATTAACAATATTATATTGCAAGTGTTAGCCTAACCTAATCTAACCCTAAATACTATTGTTAGATAGCAAAAGATGCTCGAGAATGTGTACAAGAATGTGTTTCTGAATTTATAAGTTTCATAACCAGTGAAGCTAGTGACAGATGTTTCCAAGAAAAACGTAAAACTATTAATGGAGAAGATATTCTTTATGCAATGTCTAATTTAGGTTTTGATAATTATGTGGAACCCTTAAAACTGTATTTGCAAAAATATAGAGAGGTAATATTATACTTGCTTCCTGTCTTAAGAATAAGATATGTTAATACATGTATATTTGAATGTTTGAAGGCTACAAAAGGAGACAAATCAATTGGAATTGAAGAACTGTCGGATGATGTGTTCTGTAAGTTTTTTGTCTCATTAATTTTCCCCTGACTTAATTTTGTTTTAAATTATATTGATATAATTWATTTATGTTTTATTTTTGTATATAGCAAATGATACAAGTTATACAAAAATATTTGGACAAAACAGTCAGAATGAATCTGTAATTTACTATCAAGACCCAATTCAACAATTCCACATAGTATAGTTAATTTTATTTTTGCATTACTTTGTCATTAGACTATTACTATACATATAAAAAAATATATATATTGCACTAATTTTAGCTTTTATATAAGATATATTGTGTGAAATATATTTTATATAATATATATTGTATTATATAAATTGATCTACACTTTAAATTTTTTTTTTTTATAATTCTGATTGAAAAATCCATGACCTCATTATTAAGCAAATCCATTATATGAACTTTAAGAATCCCTAAGTATAATAATAAAATATATATATATTACCTGTAAAAAGAATTTCTATATTCCGGCTCACGAAAAGTGACGGCTGGCCGCCACGATCCAAGCTGATTATTTGTTGTAGTAGTTACAAACAAAAATATACTTTACCGCACTTTTTCAAATACGCCTGTATATATTGTAATATAATAATAGCAAAACAAACATAACAAATACAACACAATATAATAGCAGAATAAAAAAATAACAATACAAGTGAATATAATTATAATATGTTGTTCAGAATTTCCTTCATCGTCACTGGACTCCTCCCAATCGCTGTCATCAGGTAACAAAGTCAAAATGATTGGCTCCAACATACTATCCCTCAAAATTTTTATTTTTCGTTATCTTGGTCTTGCAATGCTTCGGCATGTCTCACACACTTCTCCCAATCTTGTTGAGTAACCGCATCTAATGCTTTGTGAGTCAACTTTTCAATATCAACCATTTTAAATATCTTGTTGTTTTTTGCCACTTGATTCTTTACCTGGGCCCATAATAGCTCAATTGGATTATATTGACAATGGTACAGTGGAAGTCGAAATACTTAGTGGCCCATTTCCAATGCCAATACATCCAATTCATATTTTTTTTCAAATGGTATTAACGCTTTAACTCTTTGTCTAAGTTCAGTTAGATTTTCCAATTGTGAAAATTCAACATTTTTTTTGATCAACCAAGCCTGCACATTTGCTTTCCGATTGTTACTTTTGGGAAAGTTATTGATGAGAGTTGAATGATGATTTTTATTTAGAAGTTCGTTATAATATTATGGAAGTTTCATTATTATTATACCTGGAATATGTAATTACACTAGACATCTATTAAGCACTACCTTTTTTTTTTTTATCTCTTTCTTTGTGAATAATTGTTATGTCCAATAAACTGTCTTGACCCATGATTTTTAGTTATAATTTAAAATAATCACGAGATTCGAGGTGCTAGCATTAAAGTTAAGGTTCCTAAGCACCCTTCGCACCCCTGTGATTTGTGCCAATGATGACGTTGACAAACATCTTTCTCAATTTATAAATAATTATTGACAATTAAAGAAAAGTAAATAAAAATTTTAAAGGGTGTATTAAATATTAATAACTTAAAAAATCAAATTATATTGAAAATTTCATGTGTTTATGTTAAATTGTTTAAAAGAATTACAGCAAAAACTAACAGTTAGATCATGCTCAAAGTTGAAAACTGTGAAGTATGGCGGTTATCCTAAATTTTATTTTTCATACAATTTTAATCATTTCTGTAATAATATATATATTGGATTTTTTTACAGAATACTAAATAGTATTCATATATATATTGCATAGTATCAGTATGCAGCATAATATTGTATGCCTCTAAGCCATAATTACGGACAAAAAGTATAAACAATCAAGTTTGTAATAAATGTGAATAATGCAATTGTGTTTAAAAAAAAATATATATATATATATATATGTACATAACACAATACTGAATACTACAATACTAATAGACATAGATTAAAGATTAGTTAATAGAGTTATAATATTACTATAAGTATAACTAAGAGGAAAATGAATAACAGATCTTACCAGTCAACCTCTCAAAATCGACAGTAGATAATATCTCAACTAAACAAACATGTAATTTCTTTATCATGAATTCATGACTTCATGTCCTTTTGTATGCCTATCCCGAGTAAACGGAATGTATATTATATTATCAGTGTAAAGTTCACTGAGCGTAAATAACGCATTTAAATTTTGGCGATAAGTAAAACATTCACGATTTATGAACAACCACTAGAAGACATAAGCATTTAAATTTAAAATAATCATAGAATTGAATGGCGAACTATTGTATTTTAAATTAAGGCGGGGTATTTGCAATTTGAATCGGGTATTGGGTAATCAAAATATTGGGAAATTTAAGCCCGTCCTAAAATGATAAGCAGAAAGAGGCAAACCGCGTATACAGTGCTGCCATTACAAGTAACATAAATGATTAGTCATATACGTTTCTCGTTCCACATGATTGTTATACAATATTTTCACTCATTGTGCTTTTTACATTATACATTTTGGCTGGGATTTTGGAAATTAATACCCTAAAAAAACTCAAAAAATGCATCAAAATTAAAAATAATTAATAAAATCTTAATGAGATTTGGGTATTAAATGCCATAAGAAAACTAAATTGTTCCTAAAAATTACATTAAAATTTAATGTTTCAATAAAAACTACATATTCCGCCTCAAAAACTATGGAACACATTTTGTAAAATGAGCACTGAATGTATTGGCTTTGGAAAAAAAATCACAAAATGAATAAAAATCCCAGCTCTTAATGTAAGTTATAATAATATACAACAGTTAACTGTCATTAAATACCTAACTCAATTCAATTAAATATAAAGTTGAGACTTGTATTTATTTATAATCTACATAAGCACATGACATAATATGGAACATAATATGTACTTTAAAAAAAATTTTACCTATTTAATGTAAAGCAAATTACTATAAAAGTGTAATTATATATTCAATGTTTCAAAAATTATTTTGTCAATCAGTCCTAAATAAATATCTTTTACTAATTTTTTCTTCATAAAATAACTATTATTTCTCTCTTGATTTCAGAGCATGGTGGAAACAGATATTTAAATAGGCCAGACTTATTATTTGACCACTATATGTGTTAAATATTATCAATTTTTACAGTGATAATTCATTTTTTTTTTAAATATTAGGTTTTTGGTATACTTCGTGTTTTTAATCATAAAACATTTTTGGTTTAATATTGGGTAAAAACATTTTACCCAATGTGTCTAATGTGATAATCTTAACATCATTTCAGTTTCTTAGCATACTTCTACTAGGTAAATTTTATGTCTTACTAGATTTTAGTAGAGGATTATTTCTAAATTTTTTTTAAATCCGTTTAAAATTGTGATTTAAACAGTCCACCAAAAATTACTGATGTATTCCTACAAGTGATTTTTGTGAACATTTTTTTTTTTTTTAAATCCAACGATGTAACTGGTTCTTTTCGGGTGTCAGCCTATTTACAAATTTTACTACGTTATCTTGATCTTGTTCAACTGTAATAAAACATCATCATTAATCATACAATCTGAACTGTTTTAAAGTTAACTAATAACATTGACATTTTAACAATACAATTTAAGTAAAAACAGTAAAATACCGTGAAATTTCCAAATCCTTTAAAGCTGTTCAATGAGTTGATTTTATTCACTGAGTCGGCGGTGATGAATGGTGATGCATAGAGTAATATTACTCTATGTGGTGATATCGTATGGCGGGACATCACCAGTCACCACTGATCAAATTATATACAATTACTTGAAATACCCAGGCCAAAACCTATGAATAAAAAAATTATTATACTATACAATACATCTGTGAACATCAGCCATCAGGCAAAACAACCGTCAATTGATAAGAGAGAAGCGGCGGTACATCATGACCAAATATAGGAATTCGCTTGTGGAGCATCACCCACTCACCGTCAAATAATTCGTTACCGCACAGACCACTCGGGCACGTGACCGCACAGCTGGTTAACCGGCGGCTGCGAGAGTTACGACAGTTGTCCGAAAAAGCGAATACGTCACCGGTGGCCACGGCAGCAGCATTGCAAGTTGTTATCGTGGAAATACCGCAACAACAACGGACCAACGGAGTCACTCGGTCCCCGTCACAATTAGTGAACAAGTTCGGGTAAGCTGACGACAGGGAACGACGACCACAACTACTACTACTGCGTCCGTGACACCGTCGCGCGCGCCGCGTGCGTGCGCCCAGCGTTTCGGGCCGTCGGCAGCCATCTTGTATACCGTGCTCTGTTCCCGAACACACGACCCCGCACAACCATCCTTTTCTGATAACCCGCGCGCACGCACGCGCCAGAGCTCGCTTCGGGCGCAATTACGGCGGCTGCGAACATTTGAGCGGACACACTGACGCACACACTCACACACACGTCACACACGACACACACGCGTAGAACAATTCGTGTGCGCGTCGCTGCTGGTGGAACCGAATCTCACCAGCTCTACACTACAATCGACGACGACGGCGGCGGCGGTAAATATACACGCGAAATTAATATTATTACGGTCGTCGGTTGTCTCGCGCGTACGCGTCTTCACGGCACACGGCGGTTCGGGCGTAACGCGTTACCCGTACACGAGACACGCACGGTTCGCGGTCGTCGACGCACACTCCTAAACACGACGACAAGAGCATCGACAACGACACCACCATCAACCACAGAATCGTCGTAAAATGGCGTTGAAACGTATCAATAAGGTGAGCGGTCGGAGCGCGTTCGCTTTGTATCATTAATTCATCATCACCCATTGCGTACATTTTGTTCGTTTTCTGTCCTTCCCCCCCCACCCCCGATCAGCGTGGTTTGCGGTCGCGGCGGCGTGTGCACGGCGATGGCCGCTGTGTCCTTTTCCGTCGTTTCCGAAAGATTATTATGCGCACTCGAGACGAACGCGGTGGCGTCGGCCTCGTTCCCCAGCTGTAAGTTCTTGCTCTGGACCTCGGGTCGCGAATAATAAGTCCGGCCAGTCGGTCGCCCCGATGGATGATCGGTGGCTCTTCGTTTGGTCGCACGATACCACTTGGATGCGGTGGCTTAACTTTTCCGATGACTCTATGTCAGAAGTACATGCTAGTCTACTTTGCTTAATCYACGGCCTAACGCTGTTTAATTTTCTTATTATAATATAATTTTCTTAATTATTAATAGGTTTTTTTTTTATTTCAAGGTCTGATATCGACGATCAACTGTTGTAGTAATACATTCCTAACATCTCTCTTTATTTAGTTATATATACATACTCAACATTGGAATTGCGTAGAACATTAGTTGTATTGTTTGATAATCATATTTAACAAAGCAAAAAATAGAACGCAATCCAATTCATTATGTGACATAACCTATTGCTAATATACCATTGTTTGTTTAAATAATAACCAATTAATAAAATGTTTGGGTTCTTCATTCCTTTGAGCTTAATAATCTATGTTTGATATTGTTTTAGGTTAATATAAGAAAAAAAATCCATTTGTATAATATTTCTTAGTTCTTGTAATAGAACTACTTATATTGGTTACCAGGTGTTTGTCAAAACTATTCTTAGATATAAACCTATATAACCAAACTATTTTTTATTTTTTTATCTCAAATATACTGAAACTACACGAAAACACAACCTACCTGTGCTTAAATTATATATATTTTAATAATCTCTGAACYGTGAAGCTTTAGTACTAAAATTACCTAATAAGGTTGTAAGACCGATTGGCTTATAATTTTATTCTCTTGAATTAGTTTGTAGTTTTTTAATTCCAATATTTTCTATATGCCTATAAAAGTAAGTTACATTAGTATGTTTTATATTGATATGTCGAATAAAATGTTTTTCTCTTAATTCATAAGATACCTAATTTTAGAGACATGAGTATGCTATAATACCATTTTRATTTATACATGATGTACACTTTTACAATTTTATTTAATTAGACATACAAACTTATGTAACATTCATTTCATTATTGATTTTACAATTAAGTGCTATTGATTAACAATATCTTAATGTCATGAAAATAAATGATCAACACTAACTGTTATTGTTCATTATATTAAAATAGATTTAAACATCATTCAGTTTTAAATGTTAAAAAAGATTAATTTTATTATTTCTATTCTTTCTTTCTTTCTTTCTTTCTTTCTTTCTTTCTTTCTTTCTTTCTTTCTTTCTATTATGTCTGTTATTATTACCTTACTTATGTTTACTAACTGAAATAAGTATTGCTTAAATATTTTACCTAAATGTCAAATATAATTTCAAGGAACATTTTAATAATCTTTATTAGTAACTATTCTTAAATTCTTTTAACTTTTATATATATTTTCATTTATCATCAATATTTAACTCRATATTTTWTCATTATAATTAATTTTTYACTTACTTTCCACTTTAGAAGTAATATTAACAGTTGTATAATTGTTTTCAGGAACTTCAAGACTTAGGCAGAGACCCACCAGCACAATGCTCCGCTGGACCTGTTGGAGATGATTGTAAGTAAAGTTTTGATTGAAATATGGCATTAATTTTATTAAATTAAATAACAAGCCACCCTCACCCCCAACCAAACTGCATAAAACAGATACTTGAAGATCCCTCGAAAAAAATATTTAAAAATTTTCCYGTCTAGCACGCCATATTAAATGTATCATTTTATATGTGTATGAAAAAAACTGTATTCTACTTATGTATTGTATACAATTTAAATAATAGACTTTTTACTGCCACTATTATCTGTCTTCTGATTTTTGTTTTTGCACTTCATGCATGATGTATTCATTTTAAATCTCCTACTTGCTATGTTAAGTGATGTTAGGCTGTCTGTAGAGTTTTAGAATTCATTATTATGTCTAATTTTTTATGCTTCTGTTTCTAAATTATTTAAAAAAAACTACATGCTTCTCTTAATAGGGATTATACTGAAGCTTTTTCTAGTGTTCTATTTGTTTATATATAATAATATTTTGTTATATCATTCTTATTTTATCATCAAACTTTTAAMAAAAWTTTTCAAAAGAATATCGAATAGACTACCAGATTATAGTATAAATCAGTCACCAKTGTCGCTCTTGATAGATTGTATGGACTTTTAATTTACCCTAACTAGTTTATTTCATAACAAATTTTGTTTTTAGTATCCATTAATTTTAAACCATTAGTTTATTTAATAAACTATGTTTAAATTCTATATTATGTCTAATATAGTAATGGTCAGATTTGGATAAGTTATAACTAAGGTTGGGAAAATGTTATTTTCTAGAATGCAAGTACAAATTTAATTGATTTAAAATCATAATAATAGTGGGATTTAAATTTATGAAACTATAGGTACTAGTTTCAAAATATATTGTAATAATGTATCTTTTTGATTTTAGTATTTCATTGGCAAGCAACGATTATGGGACCAGTAAGTTWACAATATTTTTTTTTCTATTATTATCACTAAAAATAATATATCTTCGGTTGTAGTTTTGTTTAAAAATTTTGTAGTATTTTTTTAGTTCAATCTTCTGTTTAAATTGCACATTAACATTTAAAATTACTTTTTTTTAGCCGGATAGTCCATACCAAGGTGGCGTGTTTTTCTTAACTATCCATTTTCCTACGGATTATCCATTCAAACCTCCAAAGGTAAGTGTATTATCTAMTTCATAAATATTAACTATTATTAACTTTTCCATTTAATACTTAGGTTGCATTCACTACTAGAATTTATCATCCGAACATWAACAGTAATGGTAGCATTTGTCTTGATATTCTACGGTCTCAATGGTCACCAGCATTGACCATATCAAAAGGTAAAAAAAATTAATCCATAATTATTACTACCATATCATAATTAACTAAAATTATTTGATTCCAGTTTTGTTGTCAATTTGCTCGTTGTTATGTGATCCAAATCCAGATGATCCGCTTGTTCCTGAGATTGCTAGGATATATAAAACAGACAGAGAAAAGTACAACGAATTAGCCAGGGAATGGACCCGCAAATATGCAATGTGATGGTTGTTTTATGATATGTTGCCTGTCCGCCCGTCATCAGATTAACATTCTTTTTTTTTCGCCCTGTACAACTTCAAAAAGATCAATAATACACTTTCAATCTCCAACTCATTTGGTAAAATAAAAATTTGGCCACCTCATGGAAAATTACTTTTTAGTATGATTTGGAAAATATTTTAATTATAATGCCTATACATACTCTTTTTTTTTTACTTATCACTTTGTCAAAAAGTTCAATATTGAATGTGTAAGTGTCTCATAATATAGAGAACAAATTTAAAATAACATGGTGTTTATTTAGTAGTTAACTTTAATAATAATGCATATTATTTTTTTTTGGGATAAAAGTGTAATATATTCATGTGCTGGTGGCGATTGATAACTGCCTTTTTACCTACCCATAAATAATTATAATATATATAGTTTTTCATTATTATTTATTTTATTATATTTTTAACTCATTTTTTAATAGTTAATAATCTACTTACTTCAAATTTGATATTTTGTTTGTATGCAAATTAAACTACCTTGGTTAATTTAAGTAACCAAWATTGTATTAATCTCCATCAAATTTGCATACTAAACTCTTAGATAAAATTATCGTTTTTTTTTTTAATTTAATAAGCGGTTTAATTTCAATTTCAACATTCGGTTTTAGTACTCATCATTGATTWTAATTTGTATGTTAATTTAATAGCCTAAAATGTTAAACATTTTTATTTTRCCACAGATATTCTAAACTGTTACCATTGCTGTGATAATTGTAAATGGTACATCTACTAACAAACAATGGGTCTGTTATTCAAATTTTAAACATAAATCAGTTTAATATAAAATTGATTTTCTACAATTTTTCGACAATACATTTAGCYAAAACAATATTGAATATTTTAATACTTTTAACATGCTAAACAACAAATAAAATTATGTTTTATTAATTAAACTATAAGTTTTAAATGGTTTTAAAAATTGATTTAATTCAATTGAATTATTAATTATTTCAATTAACTATTATTATTATTATTATTTTTTTTTTTTTTGTACTGAAACATCCTATTTTGTTAAGTTGTTTGTTATGAAATTTGAAAAACTCAGTATTCAATTTGCAGTAATGTAATGCACAATGCATATGTTACAAGAAATTATTAAGGCGGTATTCCTTATTGTACTATGTTTACTCGGTCAATAAATGGAAAAGAAGTTTTCCCATACTTTATCGAGTATTGTGTCATTTGTATGTGATAAAAGTAGGTAATGTGCCAACTTATATTTTAATAAATTTTGTATGTTCAAATTTACCATTTCTATACTCTTATAGTCTTATAATTAGCATAAATAACATTTAATTATAGTGTTACTGAGATTTTATTAATAATTTAATTGGGTATTTTATTAACAATTATACTTATATTTTGTGTGTATACATATAAATATATATATATATATATATTAATTAATTTAGATAAATGTATACACTTTTATACATTTTTTTAAATTGTATATCAGAAGTAAATTTGAAGGCCAAAAGTGAGTTGTTAAGTTATTACGTGACAAACATCACAAAGTATAAGTAATTATTGATTTTTTATAGCTTAGTATTATAATAATACTACTGTACTACTATTTAATAATTAAGAGGACGTAACACTGGTGTTWATGGTTTGAGTCTTATGAGTGTGTAACGTGGTAAGTGTAATATGCTCAGCAGATCACATGTAACTTTGTTGGTAAAAACATTACCTGTCTTGTATCAGAGTTTTCTACGATAATTCAGTTTTTAAGTGAGTTATAACGTTATAAGCATTTTTAATTCTTGCTGTATTTTATTCCTAAAATTTGCTAAAAAATTGAACTATCGTAGAATACCCACATACAAGCACAGATAATGTGCTTATCATCATGTTTCATAATAGGGCGATACACTCCAATTTTTAATTAACGAAGCTACACGTAATCTGTAAAAAAAAAWWCTGTTACGCACTTAAAGGATGGAGAACAGATTCCAGTCTTGTGTCCTCTCTTAAGTGTTATTATAATATGGAAACAATTTTATGTTCTAATTGTGTCTTGTTATGATWGCTTATTTTGAGTTTTGAGATGTACAAATATGTAACGCTTAATCTATATTTTCATTGATTTTATTCAACTGCTACTTTGTCTTCATCTTTTTATTAATATTTATGTTTATATTAAGAGGGCGCAACACCCGTTTTTGTTGTCTCTGTCTTACAAACGCGCGTAACATATTGCAAATTTACGCACAGCAGTTTACGTTTTACTCCTTTAGTTTAACAATTAGATTGAATAAACCTCTGATGAWACTTGATGGTAAGAACATTATCTCAGGTGTTTGTTGGAAATATTTTTACGATAATTCAGTTTTTAAGTGAGTTATGCGCGAATAAAAATGCTCTTAAAAACTGAATTATCATATAAATTATAAATACTTGCAACAAAAACTCAAGATAATGTTCTTACCATCAAGTTTCATCATAGGTCTATTCAATCTAATTGTGAAGCTAACGGAGTAAAACGTGTACTGCTGAGGTTAATTTGACATGTTACGTGTTTGTAAGATCTAGACAACAAATATAGGTGTTGCGCCCTCTTGAAAGGCACAGTAAACATGGAATTTACACCAACGCCATACTAGTAACCGAGTAAGATACAATAATTTAGTAAAACAAATTAATAATACAACCGTCAATGATACAGCATTTTTAACTGATGTACAGACGATAAGATGAGTTGAGTTTAATATAAAAAAAAGTACCTTACAATAGTTCAATTCACAGTATTCACACTAATTATTAATTATAATTTTGAAGTAGGTACAGTATGATTCTAATTTTAACTTTTTGGATTCATATCACAAATGTTGCATTTAACAGTAGAAAAAATATGAGTGTAAAAGACAAAAATATTTATAAATGTATACGCAGTATTCTTTAGGATATATATTTTTGTTTATTTTTTTTTACAATTCATGGCGTTTAGTACTATATGACTAGTCAAGAGGTAGTAAACTAGTAAGTGTTCTGAGCATGCTGTGAGGAGGGTAGTTATGGCGGTAAGAGGTTATGTGACTGGGGATAACGAAGGGTTGTGRATTGGGTTAGATGGAACTCTTAAGCAGACTCTTTCAAGGTGGTTTGAAGCATACCAAGACCCATTCATTGAATGTTAAAAAGTGGATCTTTGGTCAGCTTCGAGGCGACGTGTAATGGAGAATTGAACTTGAGGCACGGATGAAGAATAAGTCTAGCTGTACGATTGGACTGTTGAGCATGAAAATCAGCATAATATGCTAAACCATAATTCTGTACTCGTCCAAGGCAAAGTTGGTCTTTCGGAAGAAAATGGTACCAAACGGCAAACAACCACACAGAATATTTTTAGAAGAAATGAAAAGTATGGGAAACGGGCGGATTTTAAATTTCTGATGTTAATTTATTACGATTAATGAATCAAACCTTTATCAACGCCAAATTTGATGTTAAAAAAAAAAAAGAGGAATATAATATCTTGAGGACTTTAACAGTGGAAGCGTGAAATCATTTTTAAAAAAAAACGGGACAAATGTATAAAACGGGCACGCAAAAACCAAATTTTGATTTATTTAAATCATTTCTCTGAGCAGTGAGATAAGTACCCTTAATATTAAGTAGCTAAATGTTGCTCCATAATTCCACACTAGTACTAGTTTGGTGAAACAAATAACAATGCAATGAGCCAATTCAGCCAATGAGTCTTCCGAGATCATTGATCTTTGTAAAAAGTAATGCGCCGCGAGTCATGACACTGGTCTGYCAGATGTTCGTTATGAGGACGTGGTACGTTGGCAATGCTTTTATCACCAATAACACCAACTTAAATAAGCTAGAATGCAGCAGCCTGCTGTTGATATAATAATTCTAAATATGTTACCACCATGATTTAAGATAATTATCTTAAATCGTGGTTTCCAGTTTACCACCAAAAACGTTTGCTTAGATTTCGCCAAATTACTAATTAGAAGCAGTTAGCATAATTTTTTATGACCGTTTTAAAGTTGAATTTCTTCAAAATTGCGTACATACTACATTATTTAATAGTAATAGTAGCTTTCATAAAGTTTTTAATAGGCGTGGCAAAAGTTGGATAATCTAAACAAAGTTCTGCATATGGTTTTTATTCACGATTTATAAAAAAAAATTGTAGTGCAAATTTTGAGGTAATTGAATATTCCTGCGTAAAATAACTATATTTTTCATTAAATTTAGTTTTTTCTTTTGTTAAATTCCACTGTTCCTTATAAATCATCATAATGTTCTACACCAATTCAAAATATTTAGAAATACTAAGCTRTAGATATCTAAAATGTTCATTTTTTTAGCTGTTAAATTGTTAAGACTTAATCAAAAAGTCTGAAATTATAATACAAAGTTCCTCATAAGTTTTATTATAGCTAGAGGAATTTTTTCAATAATCATTTGAATTAAATTAGATATTTATATTAAGTATAACAATTTTTGTAATTCAAATATTTATTATTCGTGAGGACATGAAACATTTCTGTATACTATGTTTTATATGTATTTAATAATTATTATTTATATTTATAATACATATCTAATACTTTATCGTAACAATAAGATAAATGCATTTAAATTAATTCTAAGTTATTACCTTTTTATAGGTACCGCATAAACCTCTTCATACCATTCTACGGTAAATCTGTATTGACTCAAAAGTTATAAAGCAATAAAAATAGTTATTTTTTAATTGCGAAATTATTGCAATTAAAAGTTGCGGTAATACACCTATAAATACTATCAGTGTATGAATTGAGTGTTCAATATTCTGTAAGTAATGTTTAGCAAGGTATTGGAAATTATATGCAATATTTATCTAAAATTGATCGGTAATCACTTATTAATATACATGATGAACTTATTCAGGATTTACAATGTTCAAAATGTAAAAACATAAGTAAAGATAGCAGGATTGCCAGGATTACATGCTTCACATGTATATTTAAAAAATATATTAACAACATATTCAAATACGCAGTGGCGTCGAAAACCATGTTCTGGAAATTTCCTGACCTCAATTTAAATAACGTCCCTGGTAGGTTACCTACATTTTATTTAATCAGAACTTTATTCTAAGTAAATATATATTAGCTACTTCTATATTAAATAATTAGTTTATTAATTCTTGAAAACGTCCGACCACATTTTAGAAACTTCTATTCCACGTTACAGACTTACATATAAATCTATAGACAACTACAGCTTGAATAATAATTAGGTACACTTTAATAACCTACAACAAATGTACTATAGTTATTAAATTTAAAAGTTGGTAATAATAAAATAA